GCAGTCTTTTTTTTTTCTTATTTCCCCTAGAGAGTCAGAGATAGCATCTAAATCCTCTCTGTAGCTCCGGTTCATGCTCCATCCTAGTGCTAAGCTGCTGTATGTGCATGGTGCTGGGACAGGACCCGTGTGACCGGGTGGGGTTCTTGACGCTGTTTGTGTTTGAGAATACATAGTCACACGTCTATGCTCCTCTGAAATGGAATGTGCATCGTAAATCTGGAAACCCTATCCTGGACAGTCCTGATCCTGTTCCTCTGCCCCCAGATGCCAAAGGAAAACATAAACACGGCTTGAAAGGATGTCTGAAGGGAGCCCAACCAACAGAGGCTGAGTGTCACTCAGCACGCCTGGCCACTGCCCTGCCCCGCCTGCCCCCGTGGGGGCCGAGTGAGTGCAGCCTGTGCATCCATCACCTGCCATACTGGGGGCCGCTTACCTGTGGAATGTGAATCCTTCCTCGCTTTATCATGCTTAACACGGGATTTGTGTTGAGGAAACAGAGATCTTTTCTTTACATTCCACCCACAAAATATCTTCCCCAACAAGGCTGTGTCTGCACCAGAGTTTCAGATCCCAGTACAGAGTGCAGGAGGGAAGCAGCGATGGTGTCCACACACGGAGAATTCCTGGGCCCGGCAATCTGCCCCATCGAGTTGCTCTGAGTTGGTGCATCTCCAGTGCTCTGTGTATCTCCAGAGTGTAGCTGATTTTGACAATTCATTTACTTTTGGTGGCAATGTCTATAACCAGGCATCTATCCAGCCCCAATTTCCACATGTGCAACTCAATGACTTTGGTCCCACACTTCCCATGGTTCAGTATCTCCCCCCATGTCTTCTTCATCGCCGTTCATTTAGCTCTCATCTGTGCTCTAGATGAGCTGTGGTCAGTTTGACTTCATGTAAGCAAACCAAACTCTCTGTCGTCTAGTTGATGTCAGTTCAAAGCAACCCTATAGGGTGGGAGAGAACTGGCCCTGTGAGTTTCTGGAACTGTTACCCTTTACGGGAGTAGAAAGCTTTGTCTTCCTCCGGAGGAGTGGCTGGTGGTTTCGAACTGCTGACCTTGCAGTTACCAGTCTAATTGTGTAACCACTATGCCACCAGGGCTCCATGATACCGCCTGCTAAAACAGTATCACTAGAATGAACAGACAGAACAGGAGAGACCTGACTATGGATTTACAGCTTCAAAATCCCTATACAGGGTCTCTATGGGTCTGAATGCACTCGATGGCAATATTTTGGGGGGTACTACATCAGCTTTACTGCATTACTTGAATTCCAACTACTCAGAGCGTATTTCCTTTTTCCTCCAGTTTATTGGATATGTTCTGGATAAGTTATTCAAATTAGTAATTTTTAAAAGGACCCACTGTACTGCTGTGGAGTTGACTCAGAATCACAGTGACTCTGTGAGACAGAGTTGCTCCAAAAGTTTCTGAGACTAGACATCTCTTACTGGAGCAGACAGCCTCATCTTTCACCGGAGAAGTAGTTGGTGGGTTTGAACCAGCAACATTGCCATTAGCAGCCCAATGCTTAATGCACCATGCATGCCTCAGGGCTCATGGTTAAAGTGACACGTTCAATTCCAGTTTGAGTCGCAAAGGAGAGGTTTTTAGCATTGTAGTTGTTGGTAATCTATGAGTGAATCAAATATTACCATTGGGCCATATTTGACATCAGAATTTAAATGATTTCTATAGTTTTGGGGGCTCTGGAGGGGTTTTTTGGGGGTGGTGGTGGTTGTTTGGTGAATTCCCAGACTTGATGAACTTTTTCTTCCATAGAGACAGGAGTACTTTTGCTATCATGGGTGGTCCATGATCACTGGAAAGCGCCTATACATGTAGATCAGCCCACTGGTAAAAACGAATCACAGAATCAGAGGAGAAAAGACATAGGCAGCATATACCACTATCGTGTCTACTGAACTAGTTCATTGCAAAACATGCCTCCATTTTTTTTCAAGGATTTTTCCCCCTCTAAGACTCATTTTTTCTTTCTGTTGAATTCTTTTGGCTACTTGTATTTAAGGCCAATTGCAACAATGCCAAGCTTTATAAGTTGCCTTTGCTCAAGGAAGCAGCTATCAAGAGATCAAATGAAGCATCGCATTGGGTAAATCTGCTCCAACAGACCTCTTTAAAGTGTTGAAAAGCAAGGATGTTCCCTTGCGGACCAAGGCACATCGGACCCACGCCATTTTCGATCGCTTCACGTGCATGTGAAAGTTGGGCATTGACTATGGAAGACTGAAGAAGGATCGATGCCTTTGAACTGCGGTGCTGGGGAAGGATAGTGAAAGTCCCACGGACTGCCGGAAGAACAACTGTATCTGTCTTGGAAGACGTGCAGCCAGATTGCTCCTTAGAGGTGAGAGTGGTGAGATTTTGCCTCACGTTCTGTGGACATGCTATCAGGAGGTACCAGTTCTTGGAAAGGGATTTTCTGATTGATAAAGTGGGAGGGCAGCAAAGAAGAGGGGAGCTGTGGATGAGATGGACTGACACAGTGGCTACAACACGGGCTCAACCATGACAATGGCGAGGGTACCCTAGAACAGGGCAGTATTTCATTCTGTTGTGCACAGGATGGCTAGGAAGGGGAACCAACATGAAGGCACTGAGCAACAACAACAACATAGCAGCTAGCTACAGTTTGATAGGAGTTCAAGTGGTAAGCTAACTGCAAGACCTGTGGTTCAAATCCACCAGCGGCTCCCAGAGAGAAAGATAAAATTGTCTGAGCCCTCAGGCATGTTTTACAGCCACAGAAACTCAATGAAGCCATCCGAGAGTCCAAAGGGGAAAGTGTAAACCTCACAAAGCTCAGAGTCAAATGCCACGGGTGTCTGGGGAAGCCTCAGAGGTGCTGCTATAAGGGCTTGAGGAATGGGTGGGACATGGCCATTCTATCTTGCAGGTGGAGAAGACAGGATGCACGGGGTCCGGGCTGTGGGGGTGTGAAGACCAACAGAACCCCTGCAGAAGGTGGGGGAGGTTGGAGTTTAGTTCAAGCCCTGGAGCAGGAGAATGAGAGGGAAAGAGCTGTGGGTTCCCATGGCAGATAGAGGAGAAACTAGAACCGGTGGTTTGCGC